ATTGTTAATAACTTTTTAACGAAGGACGAGCGACGGCTAAAACCTGTTGGAGGTTACTCAGAGTCATGACCTTGACAACATATGTCAAGATCAAAGTCATTGGAGGGGGGTCCCCTCATCGCACATTTACCTAAAAATTATTACCATAGTAATTATAACTATAAAAATAATAATAATGTGTGTGAGTTATCTTAGGTGCTATTCACGACAAGTCCAGTCGGCGGTTGTGGAGGATTAGTCAATTTAACTTCGATTCAATCTAAATCATTTAGAACTCAACAGGAGGCAACTTATCAACCATTCGAAGAATGCCACTGGACTGTAGTGACATCGCCAGCCAAAAGCATATCGTTTACAATTAATAGCATAGATATCAAGAACTCAATTAATAATATTACTCAACGTGATAAGTGCAGCGGTGATTATCTCGAGGTAAATATTTATGTCTACGTCTGATAAGTACTATTAAAAAGACTGATAATAATTGTATTGTACTTTAATGTTTATTTACTTTTTCTTTGCAACATCGCATATATATAAAGTCAGATACAATATATGTACATAACATATGTGTGTGTATGTGTATATATATAATATATATTATATATACTATCATGCATTTTATTATTTTCAGGTTCGAGATGGTGGTGGTCCTTATGCCGACCTTATTGGTCAATTCTGCGGAAATTCAGTGCCATCTCTCATGATATCTACTTCAAATAAATTGTGGATTAGATTTTATACTGACGGTGTTACTGAAGGCGCCGGTGCAACAGCCATATTGAATACTATTGATTGTAAGAAATGTTATATTTACTTCATTAACACACAATCACAACATCACCATATTGTACATAATAAAATGTATCCTCGAATGCATTTTTTAAAGATAAATTTTATTGTTATAAGTATAAATTTATGTTTATTTTTATTAAAATCTTTATTAAATACTTTTAACAAATTAAAACATAAATATTACAAAGATAAAACTTTAAAAAATTTTTATTTATATTTTACTTTATATCAACCTTCTTTCTTTGACGACTTTGCTTGTGATTTTGTTGCAGCATTGTGCAGTTTAAGTACTCGATTAGTAAACGAAACAATTCATGTACTTACTTCGCCAGATTATCCAAATACACATTTAGCTGGAACGCTATGTCGTTGGACATTGCAATTTGCTGATAAATACAGCGATAGAATGCGAATCCGATTTGTAGATTTTGATTTGACGGATTCTAACAAGTGTGAAGATGAATATTTAGAAATTACTGAAGAAAAGGTAAATACTGGTAGAAATAATATATTTATTATCAATATTATACATATTAAAATAATTTTTTTACGGTTAATAATATCTAATGTTTTAAAAATATAATGACTTTTAAAATAGTTAAAGATAAATATTCTTACAAATAATAAAAAATTAAATCATCATCTTTTCTTTAACAAACAGAAATACATAAACGAAGGCTTTGGAACAAACTTTATTTATAGTGGTGAAAGAAGTCATCCAATTACTGTCGAAATGGTAAGTTTGCATTAAGAACTAACGCTTGGCTTTGCTAAGGTTCGTCTACATATGTAAGTCGTAACACGTAGTTTGCAAACGCAGATGCAAGTGACGTTTCTTCTGGTACGCATTCGCAAATTGACGATACGCGGCGAGTTAGTTCAACTTTAACTTTCTGCATGTTCGGTAACTGCGTAGACTATTCAGAAAGTAGCAAAGCGGAAACAAGTATGTCCGACGATCTTCATGTTGGTTGAAGTTTAGACAAGTAAGCCGCGTTTAATATTCATTGTCATTACAGAAAATTTATGGCACACATAACATAAATTTTCAATAATTACAGTAAATATTAGAATTGAAATCTCGATCTGTAGTGAAAAAATAAATGGACTATATTGGACCTTGGAAAGAACGAAAGAATTTATCGGAATTGTACGCAATAATATTGCATTATATGTTAAAGGCTCACGAATGTTTCCATTTTTTTTTCACACAAAATGTGCCATACCATCTGTGCAAAACTGAGAAAAGTTTATTATCTCGTTTGGATTAGCTGACCTATTACGATTGCGTTTGCGTGAAGCATGCTATCGATGTAGATACACGTGATTTACGACGTGCGAATGCGTGGTACGTTGCGTTCGTGTTTGCAAACTGCGTGTTGCGAGTTATGTAGACGGGCCTTTAATAATCCGCACTCTCTTATATAATATATATATATAATGTATATATATTTTATTTTATTTTATCTTTTAGGGTAGCCGGTTACCTTTTGCCTCATACAGATATTGTGGTGACGAATTACCACATGATTATTACAGGTACTTAAACTTAACTCTATTAGTTTATTACAATGAGTTTTAAGAGTAGGATTATTTCTCAAATTGAATATTCTCTTTTACAGTTACAGCGACAAAGTCAAAATAACATTTAGATCAATGTCCAACGATCACAAAGGCTTCAAGCTGGAATACAGTACAGCGAATTGCGATCGAAATTACACGAGCGAGCAAGGACGAATCCTTCATAATGGATTTACAAGCTGCTGGATTACAATCACCGTTCCAGCAAATCGTACCATTTCTTTGTACTTCAATCATTTCAGCATTTACGACCCAGAGCAGTGCACGCGCAACGCGCTGCAAGTACGTTCCTTTGTACTTGCTAAGGAAATCGCATTTGAGAAGACACAGAAATTATTCAATTCACTTTTGAAAACTCCAGTGACGTAAAACGCGCTTTGATACGCGTTGTAAGTTCAAATTTTCAGATAGATTTATATGTTTCATAGGTACACGAGGGTGACTCAAGTGGACCGCTTGTAACGACGCTATGCAGCATGGTAATGCCAAGCCCAATTTTCAGCACTGGCAACAAACTCACTTTGCACTCCTGGACCGAGAGTGCCAGCTCTTATCAAAGTTATGATATCATTTACACGACCACGGATGCAGGTAGGACGCGTTCGTGGCAGCGAGCACAAGTCCCCTCTCATTGCATCCGATTAATGCACGCTACCAGATGCAGAGAAATTATAACGCGCGGGAGATGATTTACGACACTGCGCGCGGCGCCTCGAGATACGCGCCACGTGAAATGTTGCGGTTTATTTTCGCGGGAGACCGCACAAAATCCGATTGCGCGATCTCGCGGTATTGCCACAGTATATACAGTATGGCAACTCTCTGTCGGCACCTTTGATGTCAGTGTTGGCAAAAATGGAGTGCGCATGCGCGAAATGGGTAATGTGGGCACGTTCGCTAGTATTATCCCGGGTACGAAGTACGAAACACTTGTACAATATAATATGAGTCTTTATTGAGAGTTACAAAAGCGACGCTTGTAGTTGAAAGGAAGGCGGTAAAATGCGTCGAGAATAACGTGTAGAGAGATGAACATAAACTGTGTAATGTCTAGATGTGTTACAGAACTAAAAAGTGTAAGAGGTGTGTAGAGTGTACAAGGTGTAACTTAAAAGTACTAGAAATCCCTACAGTAAGTTGCCCAGTAACGCCACCTAAACTTCTATCTCACTTACTCTTTAGTTTTCTCTTTCTCTCTTTCTTTCTACCTATTCTAGTTCATTTTGTATGTACAGAAAATTAATTTAAATATAAAAAAACTAAAAAAAATAGATTTATAGTTGTAATTGCATTGCAAAAAAAGAAAATAAAAATAAGAATATATAAAATTATATAAATATTGTATAAATATATTGTAAAAACATTTTAATTAAAGATCGGCACACGATGCTTGTTTTCCTGTAGATTGCGGTTTTGAAAATTATTAGAATTGTACGACAGAGAATTAACGCAGATTTTTAGCTAAAACGTTAGCAATTCAATAGAAAAACACAAGCATTATGTTCTACAGATTAAAAATATTAATATAAACAATAAAAGGTAAAATTTACTGTTATACAGATTACGTTTAAGAAAACAATTATTATAATGATTATAATTATGAAAAGTATCTAATAAAATAATTTTATATTACATTAAAAATAAAATAATAATTTTTATGCATCTAAAATAAAAATAATCAACTAAAAATGAGATAAAAGAAGTTTTAAACTTAATATAATAATAATTTAAAAAACAAAGTTTTTTTACTTATTTTACAGCAATACTTGGTACAAAGTTAAGATCAAAAGTGCTTCCAAGAGGATAAATAACTTATACAACAGTTGTATAAGTTAACTATTCTCTTAAGAGAGATCGTTCCTCGTTTCACTTAATATTTTTCACGTTTTTCACTCTTGCACTATTTTATTTCCACAGACTTTCCAGTCACAAACAATTTCTCTAACTAACACAACTCAAACAAACGGCAATTACACTAATTTCCTTCAAATTTTAGCTTTCTAAGCACATAAACAAATACAGGATATTTAAACGGAAGCATTTAAATGGTCCTGACAGAGAGTGATAGAGAGAACGGATAAGAAGAAATGAGATAGAAGTTTAGATGGCGTTACTGGGGAACTTACCCATTTCGCGCATGCGCACACCATTTTTGCCAACATAAAATCAAGAGAGTTGCCATACTGTAGTGTATATACTTTGGTATTGCTTCAGACCAAGAAGACTAAAACCAGGAGAGTAAACTCGGTCAAATATCGGTAGTGGGGGTAGGCCAAAAAGTGACGGCGGATAACTCCCCCCACTCTTGCGCTTCATTAGTCCTCTCTGTCGCTCTGATAGTCGTTTTCAATTCGTGACTGCGCATGTCAAACAAACCTTGTTTCTGTTTAATTGAATTTTGGACTCAAGAAGACTAAAAATTATACATATTTCAATATATGTTATTCCAACGACGACGGAAATATTAATAATATTCTGTAAATAAAAAAAAATTACTGTAATCATACTCCAAAATTTGTATACAATACAGAATTTACCTATAAACAAGTTATTTAATATACAGTATAATTTCTTTTTACAACTTACATTCTGTTTAAGATGGTTTAAGAAGATTTTTTTCTTTTTTAAGTGTGTCCCTCGGATGAGGGGAAAATAAAGCGTCTCTAGCCCTAACCTTTTTGGGCTATATAACGCCAAGAAGACTTCTTGATAACGCAAAGGTTAAGAACAAGACTTCTTGGTTATAACCGACGCGCGCATGCGCAAACTTTCATTCAATGTGCAATGCCACTGCGCATTGAATGAATAACCGCGGACGTTTTTTGACCTACCCCCACCACGCTAGTTTAC